CTGTAAAAGTGATCCATGTAACCAAAAAGATTTGTACCTCCAAAATACTTAAAAATAAAAAAAATTATCAGATTTTAAGAAAACTTTAAAAAGACAATGAACTGGGCAAGTGACTTAGGTGGGGAAGGATGAACACAGAAGGATGTGCCAAAGTGACCTTTCTTGGTGGTGGCAGGGCTTCCCTTCTGTCCATTTCAGCAACCAGACCCCAAATCTTAATGTTGTAATCATTAGCTTCTGCTCATGCCCCTGAGAAACTCAGGTAATTGACTAACCCCTGGTAGGCATGGAGGGAGAAAAAGTGAAGACACATTCCCTGAGGTTTCCTCCTTTCTGGCAGGCTCCCCAGGGGGGCCAGCATCTCTGCAGCAGAGGCAAAAGGAGTAGGGCCACAGCAAGAGAGAAAGCAGAGGGCAGGGTGATGGGAAAGGATAAATAATGGCAGTCAGACTCAGTAAAGTCCCTGTGCAGCTCATGCCTACACAGCCTGCACCTGCTGGGAACCTCCAAATGTCACCTCCACTGGGGTGAGGCAGAAACAGGTGCATGGCCTGAGTCACCTCCCTGTCTATCCACCTGACCAAGAGAGACCTGGGGAACCAACAACTGCCAGTGTCTCAGAGAAACCACCTGTATACACAAGTCTTCAGGTAATTTGAGCCTATAAGCAGTGGGTAACAGGCAGGACCTACTTTCTACCTCAAGACAGTGTGATGATTGCTTTGTGGGCTTTCTCATTTGTGGAGCTCCCACTGCCTAGTGAGATCCCTGGATAGGTGAGAAAACTGGTGCAGAGAGAAGAGAGCGATTATTGCTTTTTACCAAGTATGTCTATTTGATTTTCAGTTTTCTTCTTTGTCCAAAAGCCAATGGAAAAAGGATTAAGAAGCAGGAGGAGAGGGATATATATATATATATATTTCATTTATATATATATGAGAGAGAGAGAAGAGACAAGAGGATTCAGGATTGAGAGGCTCCAGCCACCTCCATAGAGTGTAGAGAATCAGAGGGTACTAGAGTCTGTGGTGAGGAGCCAGACTCGCTGCAGATTTTCTGAAGTGCCAGACAGCTGTCTCCTCTCTCTCTCTCTCTCTCTCTCTCTCTCTCTCTCTCTTTCTCTCTCTCTCCCACCATGGAGGAATCCACAGGGTGTTCTGCTGATAGATTGAATGCTTGGATTGCCATTCTAGGCCCATGCCCACCATGAGTTTTGTTTTACTTCCAAAATAAAATTAATAGACTTCATCTTAGGAGCAATTTTAGGTTTACAGAAAGTTTATCAGATAGTACAGAGAATCGTCTTATATACCTTCTGTCCCTTTTCACAAAATTTCTCATAGTATTAGCAACTTGAATGATCGCCATACTTGTTATAATCAATAGACCAATATGGACACATTGTTTTTATTTTATTTTTTATAAAGTCATAAACACATAGATCATGTATACATTAATGCATTTATGGGGTACAATGTGCTGATTTTATATATAATTTGGAATGCTTATATCAAACTAGTTAATATATCCTTTACCTCATTTACTTAATTATTGCGTTAAGATATTTATACTCTATACTTAATAGATTAGACATGTACCCTTGCAATATACACCATAGGTGCAGTCCCGCCATTTACCCTCCCTCCATCACATGAACTAAAATCCATAACAGACATTAGTGTTGGCGCTTGGTGGGTTACATCCTCTGGGTTTTGAAAAACACACACAATGTCCTGTATCCACCATTACAGAATCCTACAGCATAAGCTTCACCACACTAAGAATTCTCTGAGCTCCACCTCTTCGTCCCTGTCTTTCTCCCCCTGAGCCTCTGGAAGCTGCTGATAGGTTTGCTGTCTCTGTAGCTTTGCTTTTCCCAGAATGAGTAGGTGCCGCTTTTAGCTGCATGGTATCCCCCATCATTCCAGAAGGTGGTATGTGCAGCCCTCAGCCATTTTCCAAGGCACGATTGGAGGCTCATGTCCTCTAATAATTCTCTTCCTTTCTTTCTTCGTGGCTGTGCACTTTTGAGATCTTAATTGAGATGAAGAGTAAGAAACTATGAAGGTTTAGCCACAAGGAAGCAGCATCTCCTTAGCCCAAGAGTTGCTTTGGCATTCACCGACAGCCACTAGTAACTGGTGAGCATAATAAGTTAGAAAAAGACAAACTTTTGGGTCAATAAGACTGAAGTTCAGATCCTGCCCATCCCACTTCAGAATCATAGCACCCTGAGCAAGTGATGGGTCCTCTGTGGGATTTGGTTTCCCTGTCTATAAAATGCAGATCATAGCTGATGGATTCTAATGTCGGGCATAATAAGAATGCACTAGGAATGTCAGGAGGGATGCTGAGCACAGCACCTGGTCCACAGGGTATGTCCAGTATAGGCTAGTGATTCTCATCGGTGTCATTGTTGTGAAGTGCATAGGACTGGAGTCATCAATGAAATAGTCTCTGACTCCATGATCTGGATACGTCTCCATGATCCAACATGACACATTATGATGAACATCATGACAAAGGCAAGGAGTTTCAGGGTCATTTAGGAATCATTATTTTGGAGACACCCAGGAACGAGTGACCAAATCTACTCTGGGAAGAGAATGTCCAGGAGGGCTGCACAGAGGGATGGCATTTAAGTTGAGTTTTAAACACAGGGGTTTGCCAGGTATAGAAGAGAAGAAATGAGGACCTCAGCAAAGTGAGGGTGCCAAGGAGTTGCAACTGCATTCTCTGGATCAGAGTTTCTTAGTTGTGGGGATGACTTTGCTCCCCATGGGGGACATCAATATTGTCTGGAGACATTTTGAGTAGAGGCTGCTGGCATTTATCTGACAAGATACTAGAGATCTTACTAAGCAATCTACAAGGCACAGATGAGCCCTCCACAGAAAGATGATCTGGCTCCACATGTCAATAGTCCTAAGGTTAAGAAACCTGTCTGCGACACTGGAGAGCCAGGAAAGCTTGTGAGAACAACCCACTAACACTAATCAGCCTATTCTCAAAGGCACTTTTTTTTAAATTCATTTTTTAAATTAAATGATAGCTGCATATATTAATGCAAACATGGAGTACAGTGTAGTGTTTTCATATACAATTTGAAATACTTTCATCAAGCTGGTTCACATAGAATTCATGTCATTTCCTTAGTCATTGTGTCAAAACATTTATATTCTAGTTCTAGAAAAGTTCACTTGTACCCTTATTAGACAGATATATAGGTGATCTTTCCGGTCACCCTCCCACCACCCAGCCTCCCTTCTCCCCTCCCCATAGGTCATTCACCCCTCTAAGATCTCAAAGTGTTAGGACTGGCTGTTTGGGGCCACCACCTGAGGAGCTATGAGTAGGTGCGGACCCAGAAGCTGGGAAAAGATGCAAATGATTCCAGGGAGAAATGCCCAGCAACTCTGAAAACCAGTGAAGTTTGGGGAGTGCAGCCTCCCCTCACCAAAGCAGCTCTTTCCCTCTTTGTTTCTGATTATAAACCTGCCAGGGCTTACCAAGGACCTGAGCCCACTCACAAGGCTATTTACTACCCTTTTATAATTGAACATTTTATTGTGTATAAATACACGTAACATGCAATTTACCATTTAATCATTTTGAAGTATGCAATTCAATGTCATTAAGTACATTTATGATGTTATGCAAATATCACCTGTAGTTTCAGAAAATGTTTATCACCCCTAAAAGAAACTCTATACCCATCCTCTAACCCCATCCTATGGCTACTACTGATGTGCTTTAATTTTTACTATTCACAAAAGCAAAAAATGGGCACAATCTGAATGTCTATAAGCTGAAGTATATCCACATAATGGAATAGTATTTGATCATAAAAAGGAAAGATGTTCTGATACGTGCTGCAATGTAGCTGAACCTAGAAACATGTTCAGTGAAAGAAATCACACACGTAGAGCAGTGGTTTTACTCTTTTAAACTTTAGGTTGTCCATTTTTTTTTTAAAGAAGAAGATAAATATAGTGAAGTGATTCATAAACACACATTGAAATCTCATGAAATTAGTTATTTACTGAGCATGGATTGTGTACATTTGCTCTCTCATTATATTGATTTAATTATCCTGTGCAGTACCTGCTCTACATTAGTTCACCTTCCAAGAATAGCTCCTTTATTTCTCACAACAGCCTTTTGAGGGAGGAAGGGAGAAACAGAGGTACTAAGAGGTGAAAAAACTTGCCTAAAGTTACACAGTAGGTAGAGTAGAGATTCAGACTCAGGTCTGCTGACTTCCATATCTCTCTGTATCAGGGCTTGTTGCATTGTCTCAGGAAATACAGATGTGCCTCATGGGAGCTAGAAAACAATCAGAATGTTATTTGTGGCTCTTTTCCCACAAAATCTCTGATCCTGCATGAATAACCCTGAGGAAGAATAAATGTCTTAACACAATAATTGAGGTGAAGGCTATGTTAATCAGTTTGATGTAAGCCTTCCAAATTGTATATAAAATCAGCACATTGCACCCCATAAATGCATTAATGTATAGAGTTATGATTTAATTAAAAAATTAAGACAAAAAGAATCCTATCGGTACAATTAAGTTAGAGATGCACCCTGGTTGGAGGAATTGTAGTCATGAATAGGGATATTTCTGAAGTGATCAGAAAAACAGAATTTATTGGAAGGAGTAAGAGGGGCAGAGAAGCAATGGTTGGAAGCTCCAGTAAAGGGTCATTTTCATTTGGGGAGGCAGCATAGAGTGGTAATGAAGAGTGTAGTTTCCAGTCAGCCCAGCTGTGGGTTCGGGTCTTGGATCTTTTATTTCAATAGCTAGTCCTTTTGCAAATTGCTTAGCCTCCCTACTCCCCAAGGTTCTCAATAACTATGCCCAAGGTTCTTAAATGGACAGGGTAAAAACAGTACCTTTCTGCCTAGGTTAATGAGAGGATTAAATTGTAGGAAGCACAAAATGGGAACTAAACCAATGCCAGATATTACCATTCATTGGAGGCAGCCCCTTGGGCATGTCCAGGCAGGGCAGAAGGTGATGACCTTTCTGTCTTTATCTTGTAGCTGATGTCTCCCTGCAGCCTCATGCACGGCCTCCATGCAGGGAGCCAATCGCACGGTGGTGACTGAATTCATCCTGGTCGGTTTCTCCACCTTCCCTCACCTTCAGCTGATGTTCTTCCTCCTGTTCCTGCTGATGTACCTGTTCACGCTGCTGGGCAACCTGCTCATCATGGCCACCATCGGGAGCGAGCGCAGCCTCCACACGCCCATGTACCTCTTCCTGTGCGCCCTCTCCGTCTCCGAGATCCTCTATACTGTGGCCATCATCCCGCGCATGCTGGCCGACCTGCTCTCCGCCCACCACTCCATCAGCCTCCTGGCCTGTGCCAGCCAGATGTTCTTCTCTTTCACATTTGGCTTCACCCACTCCTTCCTGCTCACGGTCATGGGCCACGACCGCTACGTGGCCATCTGCCACCCCCTGCGCTACAACGTGCTCATGAACCCCCGGGGCTGCGCTTGTCTGGTGGGCTGGTCCTGGGCTGGTGGCTCGGTCATGGGACTGGTGGTGACCACAGCCATTTTCCAGCTCACCTTCTGTGGACCCAGTGAGATCCACCATTTTGCTTGCCACGTGCCACCTCTGTTGAAGTTGGCCTGTGGAGATGAGGTTCCACTGGTGGCTAAGGGTATGGGCCTGGTGTGCATCATGGCTCTACTGGGCTGCTTTCTCCTCATCCTCCTCTCCTACGCCTTCATTGTGGCCACCATCCTGAAGATCCCGTCTGCTGAAGGTCGACACAAGGCCTTCTCCACTTGTGCATCCCACCTCACAGTGGTGGTTGTGCACTATGGCTTTGCCTCTGTCATCTACCTCAAACCCAAAGGTCCCCAGTCTCTGGAGGGAGACACCTTGATGGGCATCACATACACAGTCCTCACACCCTTCCTCAGCCCCATCATCTTCAGCCTCAGGAATAAGGAGCTGAAGAATGCCATGAAGAAGACTTTCTTCAGCAAACTGTACCCAGAAAAAATGTAATGATCTGAGAGAAATTCCTTGGGAACGACCAGTTTGGATTACCAAATGCTACTGTAAATAAGACAGCCCATGAACATGTAGAGACCTATATAATTGCCTGGTGCATTAAAGTTTACCCGGACCCTTGTAGATAGCATACAAATGTATACACAAGGGTTAATCAAATCTGGGGAGATATTTGGGAAGGATGTGTGAGATAACAGCACAGAGAAAATCAGATTTGCCTGATTCCTACCTGTTGCCGGATACCTTCATCAGTTAGTACCACACGTGAAATCTGTTCTCGTCCTGCCCTCATCCAGGGTCATCCCAACAACACAAATTGGCAGTCCAAAGAGAAATGGAAGTCTTCACTTACCATTTTCTGTTAGCAACAAGTAGCTACAACTTAGATTTTGTTACAGCTACCCCAGATTACAGCAGGGGGCAGGCAGAGCACCCTGAATTTCAGCAATTCACAGATCTGTGCCATAGGATTTAGAAACAGCAATAAGCAGACATCCAGAAAAGGTTGAGGAAATCTTGGTATGTGAATTTTGAATGGTTGTGGAGAGACAGAGATATCTTCATGGTTGGCCCAGGGAAAAAGTTCCACTGTGAGATATGGACAGCAGGGAACTCTCTTATAAACCAGAACTGTTAATGCAGAGCCCACAATAAAAGTGTGTCCCACGGTCGCATGGCCATAATTGCTCACCCATTTTATGGAGGTGATTTAAGGTTGACCCTATTACATAGTATTTACAATTTGTTAAAATTGCTGTTTTCATATTTAATGTGAATAATAAAACTATACATCATTTGTCCTAAAGTGTGAATTCAGTCCTTTATCCTTTGAGCAATCAAAACACCCCACGTTAACGTGGAGCAGAAATATGGAGGAAAGAATTTCAGCCAAAACCGGGAGACCCAGAGAAGCCCTTTGCAGAGCACAGGCAGTGTTCCATGTCTCCTTTTACTTCTTGGTCTTACTATGTCATTATAGCTTCATAAGGGGGATGAGAGCAAACTTGATCCCACCCCTGCCATTTGACAGAGGAAACTGAGGCTCAAAAGATGCACAGCCCATTAGAGACCACAAAGCTTGGAAAAGCCAGGCTTCCAATGTAAGTCTTTTTTTGATGCCAAGTCCTCTTCACTCAGTGCTTCATACATTGTCTTCCTACAGGGAATTCTGTGGCTTCTAATTCTAGGGAGACTGATTCTTCTCCAAATCAAACATCCCAACATCCTTAGAGTCTTTTTGGCAGATACAGCCCTCCATGCATTGAAGCATGCATCCTTGGAATTCTAATGGATATTTCTGTAAACTGAAGAGTTCTTCATGATTTTGAGATAAGTTTAAGTCTTAGACATTTTCATTATCACAACTGCTCTATTTTGTTGTATCATAATGTCTACCACCTTCTACCTGATCATATATAATTTACTTATTTATTATGTTTATTGTCTTTTATCCTTCTTCTAAAAGGCAAGATTTTAATATGGGGGTGGAAGTAAGATGGCCGACTGGAGCCAGCTTTCCACAGAGGCTCCCGTCCAGAAGGAGAATTAAAGGACAGAAGTATAGCAAGTAAGCTGATGGTTTGGAGCTGAGCCAAGAGAAAAGGTTGAAGAATGCACATCAACCCTGCTGAGGCAAGCTGTGACCCCAAGGATACAAACAGTAGGTACTAAATCCATTGCCAAGCAGATGGGAATCCCTTCCCCCTTAAGAACAGCTCGCAGTATATATTTTTTTTATTAATTTTTTTTACTTACACATGTGTATATTAGGTTTCCACTTTTGCCTTTACAGAATTAAAAAAGGCTAAATTTAATGACAATAACAATATTTAACATAAGGACTGAGAACAAAAACCCCATAAAAAACAAATGAAGATAAATACATTCAGAAAAGAAATCAGACGATTGCTGCAACAAAATATTAAGCAATAATAATAGTAATAATGCAAAGAAAGTAGCATTCACATTATCAGATAGAAGTATGTCTATTATAGAATACTTTAATCAGTTAACTTCTTCTTATTTTGTTTTTTCCAAAGTCTCAAAAAATAGACAATTAATATTTATAAATGAAAGTAACAGATAATTTCAAAAAAATAGATTATGCCAAATCTTATAAACAATAGAAAAAGAAATACTTCAAAATCATTCTACTTAATCTGGACACACCTGATAGTAAAATTGGAGAAAATATATTATTATAAAGGGAAAATTACAAACATATTTCACTTATAAATGAGGATGCAATATGATAAACAACATATTAACATGTTGAATTAAAAATTAATGTTTAAGTAATGTCCTTTGGTCCAAATTAAATACAATTTATATAAGAATTAGTCACTAATTTCTTTCTTATTTTTTTCCCTTGCCCACACCCCCTACCTCCTTCTCTGTCCAGTATCCCCTACCCCCATGTCCCACCATGTCATTGTCTTTATATCAAAGTTGAATACATAGGATTCTTTCTTCTCCATTCCTGTGATGCTTCACTAAGAATAATGTGTTCCACCTCCATCCAGGTTAGTACAAATGCTGTAAAATCTTCATTGTTTTTGATGACTGAATAATATTCCATGGTATATATATACCACAGCTTACCAATACCTTCCTGGGTTGAGGGACATTTAGGCTGTTCCCACATTTTAGTGATTATAAATTGGGCTGCAATAAACAGCCTAATACAAGTGTCTTTATAATAAAAGGTATTCCCTTCTGGATAGATGCCCAGTAATGGGACTGCAGAATTGAGCGAGAGGTCTAGGTTGAGTTCTTTAAGGTTTCTCCATACTTCCTTCTAAAAGGGTTGTATTAGTTTGCAGTCCCACCAGTAGTGCAAAATTGTTCCTTTCTCTCCACATCCATGCCAGCATCTGCAGTTTTGAGATTTTGTGATATAGGCCATTCTCACTGGGGTTAGTTGGTGGTTTTAATTTGCATTTCTCAGGGTGGTTTTAATTTGCATTTCTCTGATAATGAGGGATGAAGAGCATTTTTTCATCTACTTACTAGTCATTCGTCTATAACTTTTGAGAAAATTCTATTCATGTCTCTTCCCCATTGATGTATGGGGTTGTTGGGTTTTTTCTTATAAATTAATTGAAGTTCTGCATAGATCCTGGTTATTAGACTTTTGTCTGATTCAAAATAAGCAAATATCCTTTCCCATTGAGTAGGTTGTCTATTTGCTTTGGGTGTTGTCTCCTTGGCTGTACAGAAACTTTTCAGTTTCATTAAATCCCATTTGTTTATTATTGGTGTTGTTGCTATTGCCATCACAGTCTTCCTCATAAAGTCTTTCCCCAGGCCAATATCATCCAGTGTTTTTCCTATTCTTTCTTTCTTTGAGAATTTTTATCGTTTCATGCCTTAAATTTAAGTCCTTTATCCATCTTGAATCAATTTTTTTAAGTGGAGAAAGGTGCAGGTCCAATTTCAGTCTTTTACATGTGGAGATTCAGTTCTCCCAGCACCGTTTATTAAATAGGGAGTCTTTCCCCCAGTGGATGTTCTTGTTTAGTTTATCGAAGATTAGGTGGCTCTAGGTTGTTGGTTTCATTTCCGGGTTTTCTATTCGATTCCAAATATCTATGTCTCTATTTTTGTGCCAGTACCATACTGTCTTCACCACTATGGCCTTGTAGTACAGCATAAAATCTGGTATAGTCATACCCCCGGCTTTTTTGTTGTTGTTGTTACTAAAAACTGCCTTAGCTATACGGGCTTTTTCTGGTTCCAGACAAAATGCAGAACCATTTTTTCCAAGTCTTGAAAGTAGGATGTTGGTATTTTAATAGGGATGGCATTGAACTGGTAAATTACTCTGGGAAGTATAGACATTTTAACAATGTTGATTCTTCCCAGCCATGAGCATGTTATTTTCTTCCATTTGTTGATGTCCTCTGCTATTTCCTTTCTAAGGATTTCATAATTTTCTTTATAGAGGTACTTCAACTCTTTTGTTAGGTATATTCCTAAGTATTTCATTTTCTTTGGGGCTATGGTGAAGGGAATTGTGTCCTTAATTAACCTCTCATCTTGGCT